TAATTAAAAGCAACTTTTTAACGTTTTTAAGCTTAAACTGACTTGCTCTAATTTTGATATGCATTGACACACAGTATAGGATCATCAGAGTATGTGGAACTCACATCTTGAGAAGCCACAATTGAGCCAACTCTTCGTTGAAGCAAAGCTAACATGTAACCGAAGAAGCCAGCTGCTATAAGCACTGCAATACCTGCAGTAATTAATTTGTCATATAAACTGGTACTTTGGAACGAACTAAAGGGAATAGCCGAATAGTACAATTTCATATATTTTACCCAGGGGAAAACTGCTTCCATACTGATGAGCACAATCATCAAAGTGGAGTTGTATTTCACGAATCGCCTTATTTCCTCTATCTATAACGAGGAGAGAGCAACTGCTTCCTATATAGACCACATCGAAATCATTTGAAAATTTTGCATCTCCACTGGGTCCATCCAGATGTCCATTTCCCCGACTCCATTTACCTCCTGCAATGGTTGTCACCCCTAGAGAAAGAAAGTCGATCACAACAAATATTAGTAAAACAAACCATATATTTTACAACTGTCAGTTAACTAGTTTTCTTTCTTACATAATACGATAATAAAATGGAAAAAGAAATCAGATGGCGTACATGAGCACACAGAGTTATAGGCATTCACCCTAAATGCAAAACCTACGTCCACTCACAGCTACAGATTTGATAATTGAGAAAGAAGTAGTTTTTACAAATGCAAGATCTCACAACTCTGTCTTATCTCACACGTGCAGAAAAATAACCCTTTTATATGACATAGGAACTAGGGAGATCCAATACAAAAGCAATATACCCCTATAATAAAAAGGTGTCTCACAGAAAACGGGATACATGACCACTTAGATTAGACTTCATGCAGTTGTTATACGAGATAATAAAAAATGCAAGCATGTTCTATGAATAAGTTCATACTGTCAAAATACAAAATGATGATAATCGTTATTCAGTCAAAAAGGATATCAGAATGCTTGTCTGTCTGTAGACCATAACGATGTGCGCACGAAACAAAAATCATTACTATGTTCACTCAAAGATAGATCAAGAATAACCACCAGTATCGCTTATCTTCCTGATTGACATATTATCCGTGTCAGCAATGTACACATTTCCTCCATCATCCACTGTAAGTCCCTTTGGATGATTCATTCTTGCTTCTCTCAATTTACCATCCACATATCCGGAGTATCCATCAGCTGATCCTGTTATCAGCTTTGGCCTGCTATCTGCAATTTCCCAAATTTACCATAAGTTAAGTCCATGTGAATGAGCACATGGAGACAATGACAGGAAACAAAAGGACATTTTAGAGAAGAGAAGCAGCAGTTATTCAAAATGAAATAATAAATAGAGCTGTCCATAAGAGAATTTTATTCAGGGTCATGAACATGAGTCGAGTACAAAGCATCACACTATCAGTGTGACTAAACTCATTAGCTTGAACAATCAACCCCCAAGCAGTGCAATCTGGTTCACTCCATTTCTTTTTACCTCATTATCACCAACTCCAACCCTCTCCCTCACCACCTTTATGTTAAAAAGGCTTAGGCGTAGCTTCAACTTCAAATTCATGGATAAGATACACTTTCAATTTTAATGCAGTCAGCTCACAAACAAGCAGCAATATTCACGAATCATAGAAAAGAAAAACCGGAAGGATCAAAGATTTATCATAACGCACTTCCTAAATGGGTAATTCTTATTATCATTTGAACCATTCAGCTCATTGTAATGAATCATTCCCAGTAACATGCGGATGAAAAATACATTATTCAGAGGCCAAGAAGGCCCATCTTGCTAACATCAGCAGCTCAACCTCAACATGTATATCAAATTCCATATATTGCTAACAGTTGGCAAGTCACTATAAATAGAAGCTAAAGGTCAAAGTATGGGCCAATAAACAATAAATATGCTGCAATGGAATAAACAATGCTCATACACCACGAGCGCCAACATAAACACAATAGTCGATGAAGTAATCTAAAAAACTCACAAATAACAACTGAATACTGATTTAGGACATACATAGGGACAAGGATGAAGAGATTTTGTAAAGATTGCTGTTAGAAGAATCCAAAATGAGAAGGTCCCCATTAGGCAAAACTTCAACAGAATGAGGCTCAATGCCAAGTTTGCTCCCATCAAACACAGTCTCCACTGTGTACCCACTCTCAAATTTCATCATTGGACGCCCAGATATAGCTGTCACAAACAAGAAAATCAAACAATAAAAACACTATAAAAAATATAAAGAACAATGAATCAAATTCGAAGAGGGAGATCCCGCTTGACCTGTTTTAGTAGTTGCCTTGAGCGATAAAATCCATTTCATCAGCATAGAAAATGCATTTGAGAAAAACCCATTTAAAATTCCTGCAACGAAACACAATGGTAAACAGTTGCACACACATCTTGCTCCATTCCCAAAAATAAATTGGTTCAAGAATCATATGCAGATAAATGTGTGTGGAACTACTTACTGGTAGGTGAGGAAGTAGCTGAAAGAGAATAAACACCAGCTGAAACAGAACAAACACCACCAAAAAGCAGCAGAATCGTGAACAGCAGCACAAGAACATTTCTTCCCATCTGAAATGCCATTAATGGAGGCTGTAGCTCTGCATTTGCTTGAAAGTAAAACCCTATATGGGATTTTTAGATTCTTGATGAAAAGAGAAAAGAAGGGAAAAAGTGATGGGTTTTTTGAGGAAGAGTGAGTGAGTGAAATGGTTGAAGAGAGAGAGAGAGAAAAAGATGAAAGAGACAGAAGACAGAGAAAAAGGTTCAGTGGGCTGCGGTCAAGTGGAGAGTGAAGAGCCACTGGATATTGAGAATCATATGCTTTTGCAGAGAGAGAGAAAAAAATGTAATATTACAATAATTTTGTTTTATTAAAGAAATTAAAACATCAAATTTAATAATAATTATCTACTTTCACTTAATATTTATTAATTACCTTTGGATATTAGATTGGGAATGGACTCACTTATTTATTTACTAATTTCTTAATTACAGTTTAAAAATACATAAAAGAAAAATCGGGGACCATGTTACTAGTCTTTATCTTGATCAGACTTGGCCGATGTGAGACCGGAGGATGAAAATATTGAGAATAATGCCCTTGAGTACAGGGCACTATTTATATAGGGGCCTTCTAGGCCCCTCCCTGTAGAGGGCAGGTTGATGGGTTCGACCTGCTGTAAAAAAAAATTCGCACGGGTCTCGCCCTCTTGTCTCTGTCCTGACAGAGGCCTGTGAGCCTTTACCCTGTACACGAGGCATGGTTCAAATATTGATATGCGTCAATGAATGTGTTTCATTTTATCGATAAAAACTCAACTCGTAATATAAAGTACAAATGCTCGTTTTAATATGCTACAAATCATGTTGGGCCCACATGAAATACTGGAGTTCAGGCCAATCCTCATCTAGATGTTAGTCCCTGGCAAGTCATTCTCAATGTTACCAGGTCACATAAATCAGTTAATTTCAAAAATGGTCGTTCAAATTTGTGGAAATTTTTATATTAGCCTTCAAAAGTCTTTTTTCAGTGATGTGATTTTTTATCTTTTATCTTTTTTTCCCCCTAACTTTAAAGTTAATCTTTGCCCCTGTTTGTTTCTCATTATTTACCCATTAAAATGAATCATTATCCATTACATCAAACCACCATATTTGACTTTCTATCTCTTGTACGTGGCGCATAACGACTATATTTTTCATTCTCATTCTTACATTAATGTTTTTTTAGACATTTGCTTTTTTCTTTTTCTTTTTTCTTTTTTTTCCCCCAATATTTGAAATCCTTAGATAAACACTAGAAAAATTTCTTTAATAAATATTCCTTTCTAATTCAATATTTTCATATATGAACGTGCGATCTAGTTTCATTTAGCAACCATCCAAAAAAAATTATCTATGTAATTGACTTCGAATTTATTAGAGAAAAATATCATGTATATGATACACCATTCTCAATTATAATGTTGAGCATGAGGTACTTAATGCATAGGTTGATGTCCTACAATTCCTCTTCAAGAAATCATACCAAAAATTTATAACAATCTTCACTAGATTTGAGCATTGCTTTTCTATGACATATGAGTGTCCCAAAATGCGGGTTATGCCAACTTCCTGAGCTTCCATCAGTTCACCCAACTCTTTACGAACATCTATGTGGATTTTTGGGATCTTGAGAATCATGAATCTTATGCGTTTCCTAGGCTTGATCAACGATGGAGATTGTTTTTCTATTTCTTTGAGCTCGGACATGCTAGCCACTTTAGGATTTTTCCCCTTGTCCTATCACACTTGAATCCTGTCTAGATGGGTTGAAGGAGTTCCAACTACCATCATTCCCTCATTGCTCCTTCGAATCTTCTTTTTCTTAATTTAAACCTCCTTTTCCTGTCCAAATGTGCTTGGCTATACTACAAACAAGATAATTCTTGAATTGTAAATCATCCTTGTGAGCATCATGACAACCATATCAAAGAATGCATATGTACATATGATACTCTTTTGGACCAATATGTCCCACAAGAAAACATTCTTCGTGTTTAACATGAGGGATCAGGACCAATTTAACTCAGAAATTTGAGAACCGGGTGGAAGGCCAGAAGAGTCGCAACAAAGTGGGAGAAAATTGCTAGGATTCCAAATACGAGTTTCGCGTGTATGAGACGAATGCCACAAACCCGAACAATACCCTAAGTTGGTGTTAAGATTTGGGGTCCATCTTAATAAAGTCAACCTTATTAAATGGAGAAACCCAATATCTTTATAAATTGGTATTTATTTCGATATTAAACCGATGTGGGATAACACATCCCTTAACAGGCCCCCTCAAGATGGTAGCTCATTTTGAGCAAACCAATCTTGAAATTCACGGGATGGCTCTGATATCATGTTAAAGAAGAAAATGGATAATTCTGCTGTATGTTTCATTCATTCTTGAAGTCAATAAATAGGTACAATGAGGTTACTATACAAAGAAAATTAGCTAAGATCTATGCTAACATTGTGCAATTTTTCTATAAAGGTTTACAAGGAAAATTGACAAACATCCATGCTGATTTTGTGCAAGACTATGATCCATGCTGATTTTGTGCACGTTGCAATCCCTGTTGATTTGCAATTGGATGGCAATGTCAATACTCTCCCTCAAGTTGGCGCATGAAGATCTGTGATGCCCAATTTGTGATAGAAGCGATGAAATAAATCATGTCTCAATGTCTTGGTAAAGATATCTACAATCTGATCAGTTGCAGAGAAATGAGATAGAGTAAGGAAACCAGAGCGAAGCTTGTCACGAACAATGTGGCAACCAATCTCTATGTGTTTGGTCCGCTCGTGAAATATTGGATTCCGTGCAATATGTAGTGTTGATTGATTATCACAGAAAAGATTAATAGCAAGCGAGTGGGATATACCGAGATCAGCGAGTAAGGTTTTGAGCCAGATAAGCTCACATGTGGTTACAGCCATGGCTCCGTATTCGGCCTCAGCTGAGGAGCAAGCTACTGTTGTCTATTTCTTGGTGCGCCAAGAAATGGGATTGGTCCCGAGTTGGATGAAGTAGCCAGTAGTAGAATGACGAGTGGTTGGGCAGCTAGCCCAGTCTGAAACTGTGTAGGCAGTGAGCTGAAGACCACTGGAGGCTGCAAAGAAAATGCCATGACCTGAAGTGCTCTTCAGATAGCGAAGAACCCGATGAGCAGCAGTCAAATGAGGAGCTCGAGGTGCATGCATGAACTGATTGAGTATGTTGACTGTAAAGGCAATGTCAGTTCGAGTGATGGTGAGGTAAATGAGACGGCCAACAAGTCGACGATAGGGGCTCGGGTTCGACAGAAGATCACCATCACTGGTGGTGAGCTTCAGATTCTGTTCCATGGGAAAGGAGGCGGGGCGAGCACCTAGCTAGCCACTATCAGATAGAATATCAAGAGTATACTTCCGTTGGTTGATGAAGATCCCAGTAGAAGAACGGGTCACTTCAAGACCAAGAAAATATTTAAGAGGGCCTAGATCCTTAGTTTTGAAGTGTCTAGAGAGAACAGATTTGTAATGATCAATCTGTAAAGGGTCAGTGCCTCCAATCAAAATGTCATCAACCTAGAATAGAATCACAATAATGCCAGTGGGAGTAACTAATGTCAAAAGAAAATGGTCCGCCGAAGATTGTGTGAATCCTGCATCAATTAACACAGTTGTTAGTTTGAAGAACCAATTTCGGGAGGCTTGTTTGAGTCCGTAAAGAGCTTTTCGGAGGAGATAGACTCGGGTCTCCCCCTTAGTACAATATCCAGGTGGAGGAGTCATGTAAACTTCCTCATCAAGGTCACCATGAAGAAAAGCATTTTGAACGTCCATGATGATTTTGTGCAAGACTATGATTCTTGCTGATTTTGTGTAATATGTTGATTTTGTGCACTATTGACATTTCCATCCAATTGGATGGAAATGTCAATAGTTGGACTGAAGCTAAGTAGTCAGTCAACAGGTACCTTATTTTGAACATCATTAACAAGATTTTAGCTCTTTTTTCTTCATCAGTAGCGCATTACTTCTTCTAAGAGCAACAATTGATAATGCATACCAAGTATAGAAACATAAAATCCAATACGATAATCATTTTCAACATTATGATGCCGAGAGAAATAAGTTGCATGTCCCATATATGCAAGGATCAATGAGAGATGCATCAGTTTTATGAAAATTTATTTTTTTCGAAAGTTTGCTCATGTAACCCGAAGCGAAAAATCAATTTTTTGGAAATTTTATCTAGTCCAAAATTGACTTACCCTATATTTTGACATAATTGTTACACACCAAGAAACTAACTATCATGCCCTACAATCGGATTGAAGCAAACCCCTTGAGCGCCAATTTCTACACTCAAAAGATGATAGGTTTATTTGGGAATCCATATTTTCATTTTACATATTCACTCAACTTATAATCTGTCGTGTTCAAGCTTTAAACTTTTGGCGTTTTTCTAACTACTTATAGAAAGATGAATAAAATTCACTGTAGTTGCAATAGTGTTCGGACTTCTACTGTAGCTAAACAGTGATTTCACTGTAAACATCAGTCATACCCATTTTTTCTTACTCAAAAGGGCGGTGAAGCCATTTCCCCACGCAAACTCAGACACAAGCTTTCTTCTTCTTCATCATCATTTTCTTCTCTCACTTCTTCTTCAATTCTTCTCTCGTTTTTTCTGTAATTAATCTCTTCATGCAACATTCTCGTGAATAGAGAGGTAAATCCTGGCATGCCGTTTTTCTCAGATTATGATTTTGCTTATTCAAATTTCTATGTGCAAAATTTTTTATTTCGAGTGAATAGAGAGATATATCATCGGTTTTATCTGATAATTATAATTTTGTTTATTCGATTAACAATTTTGGGTTTTTGTGTGAATAGAGAGGTATATTCTTGGTTTAATGTAAATTAAAATGCTTATTAGCTTGTTAATTCATTTATGTCTTTTGTGTATTTCACGCATTAGCAATCTTGACAGAAATCGTAAAGTATGGCTTCTTATAGCAATCTTGGTGAGGAGTCCCCGCACAGACTGTGCGGGGACTTTTTGGATTTTAACACTGAATAATTTTGAAGGTATGGGCTTATCTTATCTTAATCCCTAAATTTATGTGTTAGATGTTTGAGTTTTCGTCATTTCATTAATTTTGGGTGTATGGGTTTTGTTTGTTGATGATTGTTCTGATGATGCCGTTAATAAAGTTTTGATATATGCTGCAGAAAAGAAGTCTTGAATTTTAAATTTTTTTTAAGAGTAAACTAGGGGAAAAATCTGCCTTTTTATTTATTTTCAACTTTTTTTTTGTTGGGACTCTTGATATGGGTTTATTCATACTTTATGCATATTAAGAATGTGTGTATTTTCAGTTTGTATAAGTCTTTTTATATTGAAATTTTGGCCATAAGACCAACAGAAAATAGAGAGGAGAAAAAAAAGAAATATAGATTAATTTTTTAGGCTATGATTTGACACCTGAAGCAGGAAAATGTAGGACTAAAGAAATTGGCAAGAAATTAATAAATGATTAGGTTAAGCATATAAATTTGGTGAAAATGATTGAATTGCTCCAAGTATAAAGGGTTTTGTTATTTTAGTTAATAGTTGCAAATGGTTTCTGTTAAGTTTTTAGCTATAGGTTTAAGGAGAGCATAGTAAGGTGATTGGGTAGACCATTTGAATCTCTATCTATGCCTATAAAATTCCTGTTGTTAAACTTTTTGGTAGTAATTAATTGAAAATGAGCCAGCAGCATAATATGATTATATGTTGCGTGTTTTTTTCTTAATGTTGATGGCTGTACATTTCATTTTTTAGGAAGTTACTTCCACTTTTCATCCCTTGCTTATATAAATAAATATTCTCATTTTTGCTGAATTTTGGTGATATTAGTTCTCTTAATCGCTTTGAACATGCAAACACCTAGAACCCGTGAAATATGTCTTCTTGTAGCAATCTTGGTGCGGAGTCCCCGCACCCCGCACAGACTGTGCGGGGACTCCGCAAGGAATTGGTGCGGACCAAACTGTGCGGGGAGTCCCCCGCACGGAATTGGTGCGGAGTCCCCGCACGGACTGTGCGAGGACTCCCCCACACAGAATTGGTGCGGACTCCGCACGACCACGTGCGGGACTCCCATAAAATTATAAATTATCTTTTACTTATATCCCCACAATTTTAAATCTAGTTTTTACTAATTGCCAGAGAAAATTCATGCCAAAAAATTTAATTCAAACTTCAAAAGCATGTTAGGATTATGACAAGAAAACTAAAATCTCTACATCACGTTAATAAAGACATATTAAATACAATAATCATGCAACGCACGTGGTATCGACTAGTACTTTATAAAAAACTATTTTTACCCCTCTTCTTTAAACCTATGGTGTCTTTGTGATAACAAAAAGTTACCAGCACCCACTAATACAATTGTGAGAAAAGTTTTACATGTCAAAAGTAGATTATCCCAATACCTCCTTCGCTACGTTTCTAGTGCAACTAGTTGTCTCATTCTACATCATGTTACTATGCCATGAGTATTTCATTTTCTTCCCATAAAAAACAAATCTAAAATTTTAAACTTTGCCATTAAGGATGAGTAGCTCTATTCAACTAACAACACTATAGCCTAATTCATATACTGCATGCAGCGGAAAAACGCAAGCCAAAAAGAACTTTGAAGGCTAGTGCTCATACTAGTATTAACTATCTTACTCAGACCACGATATAGAAAGCATGCCTAACTCAAAGTTAGATTAGAAACACCGTCAATTTAAGTAATATGCCTGATTGTAGATAACATGGTGGAATGGTCGAATATTACCCCTGTTGAAACTGGGAAAATGTCCTAGATCAGCAACATTGCTTCTGAACCTGCAAAGCATTAGATCATGACTAGGGGTGGAGCTAGAGAATGATATGAGGATGAGCTTAAATTTAAAAAAATTCAGATGAGCTCAGATTATCGGAGGCTAAACTCATGACATTCATGACAAAGAATGTACAACACTCAACAAAATAAAAAGAATTCTAAATGTTTCACCCTAAGATGTCTCACTAAATCTTTTTATATTTTCATACCAAATAAAAAATCGACGCTTACATTAAAAAATATAAATGTGCTAATAGCACAAAACGTCCCTACGTTTGACGCTTATAGTGGAAAAAGTTCCTACATTTTATTTTTTTCCTTTTTGTCTTTATTTCAACATTTTATTGCTAAAAACGTTCTTTTCAGCATTTTTAAATGTAAAATGATCAAAATACCTTCTTATTTAAATAAAACCAAAAAAAAAAAAATAAAGAATAAATTGCAATCTTACTCCTAAATATTTTAAGAAGTGCAAGTGAATCCAAATAATTATTAAAAGGTCTAATAGCACAAAACGTCCCTACGTTTGGCCTATAGTGTGCAAAACATCCCTACGTTTCAAAATGATAAAAATGACGTTTTTCGCAATGAAACGTAAAAATAGGGATGAAAATGCCAAAAAAATTGAAACGTATGGACGTTCTCCGTAATAAGTGTCAAAGATAAGGACGTTTTCTGCAAAAAGTGTCAAACGTAGGGAGGTTTTTGCTATTAGGCCTTATTGAAATTGAAACCATTGCCAAATCGATAAACTTCTATACTATTTCCAAAATACCATCACCCAAACTCTGGCTATACCACATACTCCGGAGAGATTCATGTCATTTTCAACGCACCAATCGACTGTACTCACAATGGCGATTCCCTTCATGGTCTTAAAATATCAACAGATGGTTTAGCGATATAAAGGTTCTACAGTTTGGGCGATGGTTGGTCGGAGTTTTTTCATTTCTAAGGTGGCAGTCCCATTTGCAGAAGAAGAGAACATGAAGAGAAGCACCATGGTGAGTATAGTCGATTGTGTGTTGGAAATGACATGGATCTCTCCGGAATAGGTGGTGCCGCCGGAGTTTTGGTGATGATATTTTGGAAATTCTATGGAGGTTCATTTGTTTGGCAATGGTTTCAATTTCAATAAGATTTAATAGCACAAAACATTCCTACGTTTGACACTTCTTGCGGAAAATGTCCCTACCTTTGACACTTCTTGCAGAGAACGTCCATACGTTTCAATTTTTTTTTTCATTTTCATCCCTATTTTCACGTTTCATTGTGAAAAACGTCATTTTCATCAATTTGAAACGCAGGGACGTTTTGCACACTATAGGCCAAATGTAGGGACGTTTTGTGCTATTAGGTCTTTTAATAATTATTTGGACCCACTTGCACTTTTTAAAATATTTAGGAGTAAGATTACAATTTATTCTTTATTTTTCTTTTCTTTCTTTTTCTTTGTTTTATTTAAATAGGAGGGTA